ACCTTTAAATAATGTTCAAAAACCATAATCAGCTAAACTGTCAGAAATATTGTTTGAAATATTCGATATTGAAATTTTGTAAAACTGTTGGAATATCGTTCAGAAAGCTTAAAATATCGAATTCTACGTACCGCCTGATGGTAGTTTTACACTACTGAAAGTGCTAGCGGATAAGACCTTTCTCCAAAAGTCAGATAAAATTCCGTATCCAGAACTCCACTCCTGTAACGCCACTGCACATAAGTGTTCTAATAATGGTTATCCCTTAGCGGGACTGTATAGACGCCTGATAATCTCTCCACACTGGATAAGCCTTAAAAATTTCCATCTCCTCTAACCATTTCAGGTGGTCAATGTGCGGTGTTGTAACAATTAATTGCGCTCTAGTGAAGATATATGAGAGCTAAGATTCAACTTAAGGAGACATTACAACAAAAAGCTTCATTGGATTCTCCGTTTTCAAGTATCTTCCAGCCATGAATAGATGTGTTTGACTTCATATTTAAAAGTAATATAAGAACTTAGAATGTTCAATATTCCTCATGTTAAGAATGAATATTGACATTTGTCAGTATATTTTTGTTACAAGATACTATATATAGTTTGCATTTTATCTGAAATTAGGTTAATTGTTTTGATCCACTGATAGCAGTGAACTTTGCTATTTACCATTCATGTCCTAATTTTTTTTTTTCACTATTGTAATAATTGGTTCAGCTAAACTTATGTATGAATCAGAGAAAAGATTCCATTATTTTACAATAATAAACAGTGGCATACTGAGAGGGAGCCAAGGGACTCTGGTACCCCCAAATAAAAGGAAAACAACACTAGTAAATTTTCCAAAAATTTTTTCTAAAATTTACTTTTTATTATGTTGTCTTCTATTATTATGAATTTATGGTCACATAAGGTGAAAATTTTAATGAATTCTTATTAAAAATTTTTTTTATCTGTTCAACTTGGCACCTCTACGATTGAATTTTGAGTGTGCCACTTATATATTTTAATTTTGTAAATCCTGAATATTTTCAAATTTATCAATGGTGTGTCTTAAAACATTAATACAGGAGTGATAGATCTATTCCAATTTCAACATATTCAGTTTAGCTTCATAGTGAAATAATTTAGAAACATTAGTAACATTCTGTATTGTGAGCTTAATCAAATTCACGATGGTTACGGAAAAAATATCCTCTTAGTGTTTGCAATGCGGAGAGTGTTTTAAAAAATTTCAAATAATGCTTGAAATAAAAATCTTTTTATTTATCAAATATTGTATTGATAATTTGTTGAAAAATAGAGCAATTTTTAACAGTGTTATTCTAAAATAACTTAAATTTAAAAAGGACATGCAAATAGAAGTATTTATAACACATTGAGGAAAATAAGTTTTCCAATCAATCAATAAATATTATTAGAAATCTAACCTATGATATAATCTAATTTATAACATTATTAACTCAGGTTATATTTTATATTTTATAATTCTCTATTGTAATCAATTACAGGAAAAATTATTAAAAAGTATTAATATATTTTTTAGATTCTCGTGTTTAAATTAATGCCAAGTTAAAAAAAATACAAATTATTTATTTAACGCCAAGATTCTTGGAACATTTTATACAAGTAGAAAATTTTCGAGCATTTTTTTAGGTGTCGTTTCAAAACAATGAAACGTTCTTTCTTCTGAATCGAAGCGTGTCTTGTTGAAACCAAACTGTCAGCCAAATGTCTCTAAAATTTTATAGTCGTAAAATTGTTTTGAAAAATTGTAAGCCATATAATGATAGGTCTATTAGTAAATTTTTAACTTTTTTCATCTGCATTAGTTTTTTTACACGGAAATATTTTTAGGAGATAAAAGAAACAATCAATAGGCCTATATTTAGGCAATAATGTCGTATTAGTCACTTTTAGTCTACAAAAAATCATTTTCTGTTTTCTAGTAGAATTTTGATAAAAATTAAAACCACATTTAATGAATATTTCTTATCAAGACAGCTTAAATTCAAATAATAAGAATGTAGTTTCAATTCTAACTTCTAAACAATTTATTAATAATGATTTACAACTGAAAATATCACAAAACATTTTAAACTTATTTCATTTCGAATTCTTTGTATAAACGATTTTAGAACTAAAATTTAATGTGTAATAAGCTGTTTGCAAATCTCTTTCCTTCTATATATTAATTCTATGTAACTCCTAGATAAATTCTTATACAGTATATACGTTGTTCTTGTACAGTACAACGTATACTGTATAAGAATTTATCTAGGAAATAATTCTAGAACTCACAAAATAAAACAATTGTAGTTTCGATAATAAACATTCTTATAATTTGCCATTTGTACAAGTAATTAACAATTAGTTGTATTATTTGTTTAATATTATTCTGCCTTAATTAATTAATCATCCAAGGACGGTTTGAATCTCTCTTGGATTGCTCTTTTCAGCTGGTTTCTGTTTTGTGTATTTGTCCACATTTAGTAGAATTAAAAAAAGATTGCTTTGGAAGGCAAGGACAAATTTGACCCATTTTATACGAGATCTTCTTTTTTACTTTCTTTCATCCATTTTTTCATTCAGCACCATACGTGGCAAACAGTACGCATAGCAATATACGGAAAATAAGTTTTAAATTTAATATTAAATTATTATTATTATTATTATTAGGATAACAATAATTCGAGATTTTAATAAAGAATAATTGTTATTTTTAACAAATAATAATAGTATAAAAAGTAAAATAAACCTCTTACTGATTTGTATACCTTCATTTAAATTATTTCCTATATATTCGCTGTAGAATTGCTTTTTCTATAAATTATTAGAATGGTTTTATTGCAATAATTGATCGCGCGAAATTTGAATTTGTCTTTTTTTATAATACGGTATTATTATTATATACAGTACTTGTTTATTTATATTTATTATAATTTATAAATAATTTTAAACAAATTGGTATTCGTGTTAAAATATTGACAATATAATAAATCATTTACAATATAAAACAATTAACTAGATTTTAATAAAATTTATGATTTTAAGTATAAATTAATTTAATGGAAATTATAAAATTATTCAATATGCGATATATATGAAATTCGACCAATGATAAGATTTAACGGACAATTTTTTAAACTTACTTTGAAATTGAGAATAATTATGAACCACGTCAATTGTTTTTATTACGAAAACGGAACGAAATATAACGAGCAATTATTTATTGTGACATCGTTACAATGCCGGGCTGCAATTTTTAATTATACTTTTAATTTATTTCATTTAAAATGTGCTCTCCACTTCAAATTAGTACTATAGTGTCTTGCCCTGTACATCATACTTTTCCTTTAACAATAGAATCGTGACGATCATCTATCTAATCTATCAGGGGAACATTTTTGAATTGAAATAACATGACTTCTGTTTTTCATTGGATGTTCGCATATAGTTAGCATAATCGGAACCTCCCGCCCCTAAAGTTTCCATATCTGGTCTCAGATTTCATCTGTTTAACTCCGTTCCTGAGATTAAGGAAAAACAGACGGACGGACGACGGTGGGAATTTATAGATCTACAATTTTTTTCAAATTGCAGCCCAATAAATCATTTTATTTGCTTAATTTCTCATAAAATTCTACAGCAACTTTATATTTTTAAATTTTTTTTGTTTTGTAATTTATTTACATAGGCTATTTACTTTTTTTACATAGAAAATTTAACCACTCAGGCCATAAACTGTATTCATATTTTCATTTTTTTCAAGGGTTTTATTCGGGACTAATCCTAACGAAAAGTATATAAAATTGATACGTTTGTTTTTTGTTATTTTTCTTCAACAATGGATCATTTCGTTGTAAGATTGTAGGTACTTTTTCATAATCAATGTGATTAAACTGATAATATCAGTTATAATAAAATGATTGGACCATATTTCTTAAGTAAAACAATCAAGTAAGCGAAGATTCATCTTACTTCTCACTTTCCAATTCTGTGTTATCATTTTTTAAAACCGTTTGTTATGTTATACGGATATTATTCAAATAATGTGCAAATAATTACTATTTTTCACGAATAAAGTAGTTTTTCTTTCTCGAACATTAGCGACAGTAACTCTTAAGGCATTGCAGTAATGCAGTATATATTTCGTTTCGGTCAACATTTCTTTTGTCTCTTTTTTATTGGAAGCATGTAAATATTAATCACAATTAAATTAAATTAAATTAAATAATAAAAAAATTCAATTTAATCTGAATAGAAAGTGGGTAAATTGGTATCAATTATTAGACACCAATGGTTAATAGTTGTTTAAATCTTCAAACTATTCTTTCGAGTTACGATCACTTAATGCTAGGGGCACACAGAATGCTATGTGCGCTATGAACATAAACTATGTTTGCTATACAACCAAAAAATAGCTACCTTTCTTGATAATGTGACTGACCAAACAACTACGTGTGCAGCGCATGTAGTTCTGTGTGGCCAGTCATATTATCAACAAAGGAAGTCATTTTTTGGTCTTATAGTGTATATACAGCGTATAGAGCATACGTAAGGGCACGTTAATGCTATGTGCCCTTAGCATTAACGTGAAATTATCCTTAGTTTATCTTTAATAAAATTTCTGCTTGTTAATAGAACTTAACCTCTTTGTTATTAGTTAACTAAAATTTTACTAATATGATCCGCTCGTTAAACGTATCTGGCATAATTATATTTAGTTTAAATACGTATATCAAAATAATTTGCAGATATTACAAATCCCACGAATCCTTTTTATTCGTTAAAAATTGTTTTTATTGTTCATAATTTTTGATGTCATTATAATTAAAGCTATTTTGAATATATCGAAAAATAAAGTTAGTAAATAGTGTTCTTTTGGAAAAGTTAAAAGAATGACTTCTAGTTTGGTGTAAACTTATTATTCGATAAACTAGAAATTTCGTCGAAAAAAAAGAAAATAAAAAATGGAAAATGCCATCTTTTTCTTTCAGATATTTGCTCCAGAAAGGAGCCAATCCAGTGGCTATGAATAATGATGGAGAATTACCCATAGACCTGGCAGAAAATGAAACAGTAGAGGAGTTGCTACAAAAAGAGATGGACAAACTAGGTAGGGTACTGTACGTCGCTGCTCACTAAACACGTACTAGACAGTTATTTGAATATTTACTTCTTTCTTTTCCAGAGATCGACTGCGATAGTGTTAGGACTCTGGAAGAGAAAACCATGTTACGAGATGCCAGGAATTGGTTTAGAAACAAGAAGATCGAAGATAATATTCATTCTCGAACGGGGGCCACTGCGTTACATGTAGCCGCCGCCAAAGGTTACGGAGAAGTGCTAACGTGAGCTATTTTCTTCTTGTAGATATTTGAATGTCACAAGTGATGCCATTTTTGTCATTGTCTGCTTATAGTTTATTAATTCATTCGGGAGCTGATTTAAATGCTCAAGACTATGACGGATGGACTCCTCTTCACGCTGCTGCCCATTGGGGACAGAGGATTGCTTGCCGGATGCTGGCCGAGAATCTGGCAAACATGAACATTCAAAACAACGTGGTAAGTACGAAAAAATATACTTTCTTTTGAAATTCGTTGAACGTTTTTCTTTTCGCAGGGTCAAACGTGTTTTGATGTAGCCGATGCCGACATGGTTAAGCTACTGGAAGAACTCAGAAAGATGCAAGAATCTGTAAGTTGAACGAGTTGCGATCTTTAGAAACTACATATCCGTATTGAGTGTGAAGTAGTAAATGTTAGAATGTCGTTTCGCTAGATGCAGAAGGAGCGTCCAGAGATCAAAGAGATCCTTGAGAGGACAGCCAGAACTCCCCCTATGCGTAAGACTTCCGTCAATCGTTCCGTCTCAGCAGAAAAGATTACCGCCGGGTCACGCCCTCCACCACCTATAAAAGAAGTAGTAAAAGTGAAATTCGCACCTCTGGTTGATTCCCAACCGCCCAAAGGTAAGTGATTAAAGAATTAGAACTGGAACCAAAAAGTCATCGGTTATCGCGCTTTCGCCATTGTTACGAATTCGCCCAGAATGAAGTTTCGATGCGCAAGCGCCAAAAACAGCCAATGGGCATCGACCTCAATTATCTAATCGCGTTTTTGTCTTTCCCAGTTGACAGAAACCGGCCCGAAGTAGCGGAAATCCGACGGCCCGGCGACCAGGTAAGTTTCTCTTTGTTATCGTTTTTCCTTCAGTTGCTAAGAAGTGATCCATTGCGATACTGTCAGGAGTATGGAAATTCTATCAGTATCGCAAGGACTAACTTCGGGTGAGACTTCTAGAATGGAAATGAGACCGGATTGATTTTGAATCTTTGCAGTGGCCCGCGGCCAAAGAGGAATCTCCCGAAAAGGATGTTCCCTGGAGAAGACCTCGCAGATACGCTGTCTCGCCTCCCAGGAATGAAGAGGTAAGCTATAGGACGAGGTATTCTCGGAAACAACAATGTAGTCGATATAGGCCTATCGTGTTTTGTTGGTTATTTTCTACAGGCAGAAGAAGAGGAAGAAGAAGAAGAGGAAGAGGTGGAGAGAACCAGGTGAGTGGATGCTGACTCTTTCAGAAAAGAAGGGGTAAGAGGAAAGAGCGGTCGAGAGGTCGACGTTTTCGGACTAGAGAGAATCCGTCGGGATTTAGTCAAAACAAACAAACGTCGTGCCAAGCCGGTCTATCAATAGCTCACTTGACTTCCCGACCGAGGCGGAGGATAAGTCGGTCGTGGTAGCGATTGTCGGAACGGCTCGCGCGGACGCTCCTTTCCTCCGTCTCCGAGAAACGACGTAGAAGATCACCGATAGAAATTTTTCTCTCCGCAGAAGTCCGGAAGAAGAAGATATGGAATTTGGAGAAGAGGTTGTGTACAGGTAAGCCTTTTGTTTCGCATTCAAATGATCGGATTGAGCGGAAACCTGCAAGCCGGAAGTCGATCGAGAAACGGGCGCGTGCATTTTGTTGACGAAAGAACGAAACATCGTCGATGAGACAATTAATTCCGTAGTGAATAGACTAAAAGATAATAGACAATATAATGTAATACATTTAAACGACACGAATTTAAAAGAAATACTCAAAGTTAGTTTTCGATTTATTTAAAAATGTGCGTTGTTTAATTTTCAATGTATTATTTATACGTGAATAATGAATTGGTTACGGAAAAATTGAGAGTAATAAACTAAAAGTAAAGAAGATCTAGCAATCAATCTAAAACGGAAGAGAATAGTTTGACAATTGTTTTCGTTGATAATAAAAAGGTATTAGGTTACATCATTACATCATTATGATAACAATAGATATTTGTACTATGTACAGTACAGTACATCTAAATATTTATTTTCAACAAACTTATATTCTAATGTAATTCTTATGGTGGGTGATTAACTTTATTTGTCAAAACTGTCAATGTATATATTATGTTCTGATTAATAGTATTATCCATATTTTTTCATAATTTCTTATCATTAACTTTCCTTTTTTGTACAGCGTATATTTCTATTTCAACATTTTATCAATTTAGAATAAATTAAATAGATATTGGAAAATTTTATAAACATAGAAATCGTGTAATAACGAACGAAAATTAACTAAATCCGTCGTAGTTAAGAGCGTATATTTATAATTGTATAGGATCTTATACAGAATATATTTCAATGTCAGCTTATCTAACTGTGTTACTTCGGTATCATGCTTTTCTTATGTAAAAGCCAATAAGAATTTCGTAGTCTTGACGTAATTTATATATTTTTCCATCCTTTAATCAAGTGGGATAAGTCTTAGCTTTGGAATGGTTGAGTATACGAGCATTTTTAGTTTTAATGTAAATTCATAAAATTCTAAATTAAGAAAATTGATGACGTCGCTTTATTTTGAAAATACGGCTGAAATTATAGTAGTAATAAACATCTTGTTACTAATTGTACTGTACTTTTTTTTAATTAACTCTTTTTAATTAACTCTTTCCGCCCTGTGGGCACTAAGAGGGCCTCTTTTTTGCAAGCCCATTAGGGGTTCGGTCATGCCCACAATGGGGCTGTCGGATGGTGAGGGATGGGGCCTGACATATCCAAACGGACCACTCCCCGAAAAATTCCTGGGGACTTTTCGACCCGTTCGAGATCCGAACCCGGGTCCCCCAGAGCGGTAGGCTGCCACCTTGACCGCTCGGCCATCCGACCGCAATTGTACTGTAGTGTACAATACAATACTGGCATAAAAAGTATCTAAAAATTGTATAGTTTTATTATACAACTACTCTATTTCTTTTATATAAAATAGTTTTGAAAAAATGACAAAAAAGAGAGAAAGAAACATTGAATAAGCTTATAAAATAGATTCGATAAATCTTAGAACTAACAAGTAAGATGAAATTATGGATGTTTTCTAATGGATATTTTGTTAAGAAAAACTTCCATTCTATATTTATTTTAGATATATTTTATATCTATAATAACTTAATAAATACAATTAATTATATACACCTCCCGCGTATTCTTATTTATCGATATTGTACAGGAGTACCTATTTCCTCGAGGCCCAGGACAATTTTCTCCTTTTGCTCCTCTGTTTGTCCTTGATTGATAGATATGCAGATTACTTTGGTTTAAGTAATAATTAACTTTCTAACTTATAAAATATTCTCTCTTTTAAAAGAGTATAGTTTAAATGTTATCGTTTATACTGTACGTGAAAGTAAATGAACCTTTAAATAACTGTGTGAAATAGTATAATATGTTTATATTTATCATCTTAACCTAAATATGTCCAATTAAAAGATTTTACGATAGGTTCATGCCATCGTAAAACTTTAATATATTAAAAAATGGAGAATATCGTATCGAATATCGTATGTCATCTTTTAAAGAGTTATTCCTCTACAACTAAAAATAAATCAACAGGTATTCGAGAGGTTATTTTATATTTCAACGCACAGTCAATCCAAATGCACAATAAGCATTGACTTATTATATGTATAATAGAACATAATCAAAAGTTTTAAAGAACAATGTAAAATTTTTTACAAATTAGCTGCATCATATTGAAAACTAACAATAGTTTTATTTGCAAATTTTTGAAATTTTAAGGAAATTTTTAACGAATGAATAATTCTAGATGCAAGCATTAATTCAAGTGTGTTCTTTTCTTTTTTGTAATTTGAAAGAGAATATAAGAACTCCTACAAACTTCATGCAGTGATAACAAAAGCATGAAGTTTGTAGGAGTTCTTATATTATCTTTCAAATTACAAAAAAGAAAAGAACACACTTGAATTAATGCTTGCATCTAGAATTATTCATTCATTTGTTAAAAATTTATATGTTTAGACAGTTTGGAAATATTGAAAGAAACTTTAGCTTTTTTAATTGCCATTACGGACAAATTGAAATATAAAATGGATTGAATTATTTTATATGTTAATACTTATTTCATTACAGTAAAGAAAGTATATTTTATCATATTTAAGACAAAACTAGAGGAATACATTTAATGATAATATAAATAGTAATCTTTTAATGTAAAGCTTAGCATGCCTTAAACTTTTGAAATAAACTGAGAAACGTTTTAATATTCATTTACTCAGAAATATCAATCGGAATTGATTGAATCATGATGAATAAGTTCATCATGAATTAACTCTTCAGTTGACTAATATTCACTTGTCCTTTTCACAAATGCATTATATTTATTATTCATTATTCATTTACACTTTTTTTTATTTGTTTACAAACTTCCTCTGTCTCCTTATCTGAATGGTCATTTGTTGGCATGTATATCTGGATTAAGAAAAGGCCCCTTGGTTTAGTATCTATTCTCAGTGACACAGTCCTATCAGATATTTGCCAATATCAGTCAACCATCTTCTTTTCCAGCATCACCGCAACTCCTCGTTGATGTTCCGTTCCTCTTGAGTACATGAATCTTATTTCTTAGTCAGTTGTAATATCCGTTTTTCCAGCCAATCTTGTTTCAGAGATCTCTAAGATTGAGATCTTCAGTCTTTTCATTTCATGCATTACATTTGCCATCTTTCCTATTTGATATAAAGATCTAACATTCCTGGTACCAATGTTAATGCATTTCTTAAGGTTTGCATAACTGTGTGGAATTTTTGTATCCACTCCAAGAGTTCCTAATGACTTTGATCGTAAAGTGTCATTTGAAGCATTTCTCGAGTTTAATCTGTGTACTTCCTGTAATTCCAGCACAAATCTGCTGCACCTCTTCCTGGTAGCCAACTACATAAAGGTGTGTAGTTCGTTACCAGTACTACCTATACATTCCTCTGCTAAACGGATTATTTCTGAATTTTTTGTTCATCAAATCTTGCGGAGATAGAGATACATGGTGCTTCCCCGTTGCCTTCCATGCTTCAGCTCTTGTATTTAATATATGAATAATTATTTTTTAATCAATTAGCTCAAACAAAACTTTAAAATATTCGATAAAAACAAAATTTAACATTATTTTTATATTTTTCACATTGGGAACATTTTGAAAATAATGTGAAAATATTATCAAGATTTTTTATGATTGTATTTACTAAAAATATTAAATAATATTAAAGTATTATACCGTATATGTATTTACTGTACAGTACAGTACAATACACTACAATACGTATTTAATTTGCTTATCGATCGCCTTTCAACCTTTCATTAACNGTTTTAAAACATTTGTTTTTAAAAAATGTTTTAAATCCGATGCCAATGTTTTAAAACATGCTTTAATAAATGTTTTAAAACATTTTTAAAAAATCATTCCAACCCTGTTTTTTAACTCATTTACATTGGACAGCGAACATGTAGCCTCAAATAAAAGGTCGATATCGCCGTAAATTAGTTATTGCCTCTGCAAAGCGTGTGAAGGGACAAATGAAGATGGACTCAATTATATATATAGTCCGAAAGAAAATATATTTTTCTACATGTGAATTTGTCCTGGCAAATTTTTTAAAATTTGAACAACACTTTAATGATATGAATTATCTATTTAAAAACATAGCCTATATAGTATCGAATAAAAGCAATAACTGCCGTATTTCGCAATGTAACAACATAATGCGAAATAATGGTTCTATTTCAAACTAACAATAGAATACTCACTAAATGTATTTTTCTAAATGATATAGTATTACCAAATAACCAGTAGTGAGGAATTTCCTTGCCGTCGTCAGAAATTGGATTCGAATTGAAAGGCTGAATGCCTAAGAGTATCAAAAGATGACCGATCCAATGAAAGAAGCAGCTCCAGACAATGAACAAAGAAAATAGTTGCAGAGTGTAATAGATTACTAAACATCTTATTCAACTGAGATGTAGAGACACGAATTTCAAAAACAATAAGTATGCTTGATTCATTTCTATGCAACTCAAAACAAAGTCCAATGCTTCAGTTAGTAAAATAATATTTATTTATTTTGTAAAATTTAATTTAAATCATTATTCTTAAAACATCATTTTATGATCTCTTATGTTATTAATTCTTCCTATTACAGTAACAGATTCTTTATATAAAGCGATGAGTAATAAAGTGGAAGTTTCATGTTTTATGAGGCATAGACAAACTTGGATTTGCGAGACCTCTTTCACATAGTTGATATAATATAGGTCAGTATCATAAGATACTTGAAATTATACAAAATATAGGATCCTAATTAGTATTGGATCAATCCAGAGTATCTATAGACATATATTTGGCGTGTCTAAGTACTTTAAAAGTGCAAGTTTACTAAACAAAACCGTCAGTGTTAGGGCGATTTATGTATTTCTGTATTATTGTACAGTACTTATTTTCATTACACACATTATTAATATAAATGGTATTTCATGTTATCTTAATACATTATCTCATTAAATTTATCCTTGTCATACTAGACCTTATAATACGTAATTTTTCCTATTTCTGTTCAAACAATGCGGCGGAGGCGGTTAAGATGTCAGCCTACTTCTCTGAGGATCCGGATTAAAAAATCCCAGGTAATTTTAGGATGGATCTGAGCCGTATATTGAGTCGATACCTGATTGTTACTATTGTGAGCTTAATCAAATTCACGATGGTTACGGAAAAAATATCCTCTTAGTGTTTGCAATGCGGAGAGTGTTTTAAAAAATTTCAAATAATGCTTGAAATAAAAATCTGTTTATTATTTATCAAATATTGTATTGATAATTTGTTGAAAAATAGAGCAATTTTTAACAGTGTTATTCTAAAATAACTTAAATTTAAAAAGGACATGCAAATAGAAGTATTTATAACACATTGAGGAAAATAAGTTTTCCAATCAATCAATAAATATTATTAGAAATCTAACCTATGATATAATCTAATTTATAACATTATTAACTCAGGTTATATTTTATATTTTATAATTCTCTATTGTAATCAATTACAGGAAAAATTATTAAAAAGTATTAATATATTTTTTAGATTCTCGTGTTTAAATTAATGCCAAGTTAAAAAAAATACAAATTATTTATTTAACGCCAAGATTCTTGGAACATTTTATACAAGTAGAAAATTTTCGAGCATTTTTTTAGGTGTCGTTTCAAAACAATGAAACGTTCTTTCTTCTGAATCGAAGCGTGTCTTGTTGAAACCAAACTGTCAGCCAAATGTCTCTAAAATTTTATAGTCGTAAAATTGTTTTGAAAAATTGTAAGCCATATAATGATAGGTCTATTAGTAAATTTTTAACTTTTTTCATCTGCATTAGTTTTTTTACACTGAAATATTTTTAGGAGATAAAAGAAACAATCAATAGGCCTATATTTAGGCAATAATGTCGTATTAGTCACTTTTAGTCTACAAAAAATCATTTTCTGTTTTCTAGTAGAATTTTGATAAAAATTAAAACCACATTTAATGAATATTTCTTATCAAGACAGCTTAAATTCAAATAATAAGAATGTAGTTTCAATTCTAACTTCTAAACAATTTATTAATAATGATTTACAACTGAAAATATCACAAAACATTTTAAACTTATTTCATTTCGAATTCTTTGTATAAACGATTTTAGAACTAAAATTTAATGTGTAATAAGCTGTTTGCAAATCTCTTTCCTTCTATATATTAATTCTATGTAACTCCTAGATAAATTCTTATACAGTATATACGTTGTTCTTGTACAGTACAACGTATACTGTATAAGAATTTATCTAGGAAATAATTCTAGAACTCACAAAATAAAACAATTGTAGTTTCGATAATAAACATTCTTATAATTTGCCATTTGTACAAGTAATTAACAATTAGTTGTATTATTTGTTTAATATTATTCTGCCTTAATTAATTAATCATCCAAGGACGGTTTGAATCTCTCTTGGATTGCTCTTTTCAGCTGGTTTCTGTTTTGTGTATTTGTCCACATTTAGTAGAATTAAAAAAAGATTGCTTTGGAAGGCAAGGACAAATTTGACCCATTTTATACGAGATCTTCTTTTTTACTTTCTTTCATCCATTTTTTCATTCAGCACCATACGTGGCAAACAGTACGCATAGCAATATACGGAAAATAAGTTTTAAATTTAATATTAAATTATTATTATTATTATTATTAGGATAACAATAATTCGAGATTTTAATAAAGAATAATTGTTATTTTTAACAAATAATAATAGTATAAAAAGTAAAATAAACCTCTTACTGATTTGTATACCTTCATTTAAATTATTTCCTATATATTCGCTGTAGAATTGCTTTTTCTATAAATTATTAGAATGGTTTTATTGCAATAATTGATCGCGCGAAATTTGAATTTGTCTTTTTTTATAATACGGTATTATTATTATATACAGTACTTGTTTATTTATATTTATTATAATTTATAAATAATTTTAAACAAATTGGTATTCGTGTTAAAATATTGACAATATAATAAATCATTTACAATATAAAACAATTAACTAGATTTTAATAAAATTTATGATTTTAAGTATAAATTAATTTAATGGAAATTATAAAATTATTCAATATGCGATATATATGAAATTCGACCAATGATAAGATTTAACGGACAATTTTTTAAACTTACTTTGAAATTGAGAATAATTATGAACCACGTCAATTGTTTTTATTACGAAAACGGAACGAAATATAACGAGCAATTATTTATTGTGACATCGTTACAATGCCGGGCTGCAATTTTTAATTATACTTTTAATTTATTTCATTTAAAATGTGCTCTCCACTTCAAATTAGTACTATAGTGTCTTGCCCTGTACATCATACTTTTCCTTTAACAATAGAATCGTGACGATCATCTATCTAATCTATCAGGGGAACATTTTTGAATTGAAATAACATGACTTCTGTTTTTCATTGGATGTTCGCATATAGTTAGCATAATCGGAACCTCCCGCCCCTAAAGTTTCCATATCTGGTCTCAGATTTCATCTGTTTAACTCCGTTCCTGAGATTAAGGAAAAACAGACGGACGGACGACGGTGGGAATTTATAGATCTACAATTTTTTTCAAATTGCAGCCCAATAAATCATTTTATTTGCTTAATTTCTCATAAAATTCTACAGCAACTTTATATTTTTAAATTTTTTTTGTTTTGTAATTTATTTACATAGGCTATTTACTTTTTTTACATAGAAAATTTAACCACTCAGGCCATAAACTGTATTCATATTTTCATTTTTTTCAAGGGTTTTATTCGGGACTAATCCTAACGAAAAGTATATAAAATTGATACGTTTGTTTTTTGTTATTTTTCTTCAACAATGGATCATTTCGTTGTAAGATTGTAGGTACTTTTTCATAATCAATGTGATTAAACTGATAATATCAGTTATAATAAAATGATTGGACCATATTTCTTAAGTAAAACAATCAAGTAAGCGAAGATTCATCTTACTTCTCACTTTCCAATTCTGTGTTATCATTTTTTAAAACCGTTTGTTATGTTATACGGATATTATTCAAATAATGTGCAAATAATTACTATTTTTCACGAATAAAGTAGTTTTTCTTTCTCGAACATTAGCGACAGTAACTCTTAAGGCATTGCAGTAATGCAGTATATATTTCGTTTCGGTCAACATTTCTTTTGTCTCTTTTTTATTGGAAGCATGTAAATATTAATCACAATTAAATTAAATTAAATTAAATAATAAAAAAATTCAATTTAATCTGAATAGAAAGTGGGTAAATTGGTATCAATTATTAGACACCAATGGTTAATAGTTGTTTAAATCTTCAAACTATTCTTTCGAGTTACGATCACTTAATGCTAGGGGCACACAGAATGCTATGTGCGCTATGAACATAAACTATGTTTGCTATACAACCAAAAAATAGCTACCTTTCTTGATAATGTGACTGACCAAACTACTACGTGTGCAGTGCATGTAGTTCTGTGTGGCCAGTCATATTATCAACAAAGGAAGTCATTTTTTGGTCTTATAGTGTATATACAGCGTATAGAGCATACGTAAGGGCACGTTAATGCTATGTGCCCTTAGCATTAACGTGAAATTATCCTTAGTTTATCTTTAATAAAATTTCTGCTTGTTAATAGAACTTAACCTCTTTGTTATTAGTTAACTAAAATTTTACTAATATGATCCGCTCGTTAAACGTATCTGGCATAATTATATTTAGTTTAAATACGTATATCAAAATAATTTGCAGATATTACAAATCCCACGAATCCTTTTTATTCGTTAAAAATTGTTTTTATTGTTCATAATTTTTGATGTCATTATAATTAAAGCTATTTTGAATATATCGAAAAATAAAGTTAGTAAATAGTGTTCTTTTGGAAAAGTTAAAAGAATGACTTCTAGTTTGGTGTAAACTTATTATTCGATAAACTAGAAATTTCGTCGAAAAAAAAAGAAAATAAAAAATGGAAAATGCCATCTTTTTCTTTCAGATATTTGCTCCAGAAAGGAGCCAATCCAGTGGCTATGAATAATGATGGAGAATTACCCATAGACCTGGCAGAAAATGAAACAGTAGAGGAGTTGCTACAAAAAGAGATGGACAAACTAGGTAGGGTACTGTACGTCGCTGCTCACTAAACACGTACTAGACAGTTATTTGAATATTTACTTATTTCTTTTCCAGAGATCGACTGCGATAGTGTTAGGACTCTGGAAGAGAAAACCATGTTACGAGATGCCAGGAATTGGTTTAGAAACAAGAAGATCGAAGATAATATTCATTCTCGAACGGGGGCCACTGCGTTACATGTAGCCGCCGCCAAAGGTTACGGAGAAGTGCTAACGTGAGCTATTTTCTTCTTGTAGATATTTGAATGTCACAAGTGATGCCATTTTTGTCATTGTCTGCTTATAGTTTATTAATTCATTCGGGAGCTGATTTAAATGCTCAAGACTATGACGGATGGACTCCTCTTCACGCTGCTGCCCATTGGGGACAGAGGATTGCTTGCCGGATGCTGGCCGAGAATCTGGCAAACATGAACATTCAAAACAACGTGGTAAGTACGAAAAAATATACTTTCTTTTGAAATTCGTTGAACGTTTTTCTTTTCGCAGGGTCAAACGTGTTTTGATGTAGCCGATGCCGACATGGTTAAGCTACTGGAAGAACTCAGAAAGATGCAAGAATCTGTAAGTTGAACGAGTTGCGATCTTTAGAAACTACATATCCGTATTGAGTGTGAAGTAGTAAATGTTAGAATGTCGTTTCGCTAGATGCAGAAGGAGCGTCCAGAGATCAAAGAGATCCTTGAGAGGACAGCCAGAACTCCCCCTATGCGTAAGACTTCCGTCAATCGTTCCGTCTCAGCAGAAAAGATTACCGCCGGGTCACGCCCTCCACCACCTATAAAAGAAGTAGTAAAAGTGAAATTCGCACCTCTGGTTGATTCCCAACCGCCCAAAGGTAAGTGATTAAAGAATTAGAACTGGAACCAAAAAGTCATCGGTTATCGCGCTTTCGCCATTGTTACGAATTCGCCCAGAATGAAGTTTCGATGCGCAAGCGCCAAAAACAGCCAATGGGCATCGACCTCAATTATCTAATCGCGTTTTTGTCTTTCCCAGTTGACAGAAACCGGCCCGAAGTAGCGGAAATCCGACGGCCCGGCGACCAGGTAAGTTTCTCTTTGTTATCGTTTTTCCTTCAGTTGCTAAGAAGTGATCCATTGCGATACTGTCAGGAGTATGGAAATTCTATCAGTATCGCAAGGACTAACTTCGGGTGAGACTTCTAGAATGGAAATGAGACCGGATTGATTTTGAATCTTTGCAGTGGCCCGCGGCCAAAGAGGAATCTCCCGAAAAGGATGTTCCCTGGAGAAGACCTCGCAGATACGCTGTCTCGCCTCCCAGGAATGAAGAGGTAAGCTATAGGACGAGGTATTCTCGGAAACAACAATGTAGTCGATATAGGCCTATCGTGTTTTGTTGGTTATTTTCTACAGGCAGAAGAAGAGGAAGAAGAAGAAGAGGAAGAGGTGGAGAGAACCAGGTGAGTGGATGCTGACTTTTTCAGAAAAGAAGGGGTAAGAGGAAAGAGCGGTCGAGAGGTCGACGTTTTCGGACTAGAGAGAATCCGTCGGGATTTAGTCAAAACAAACAAACGTCGTGCCAAGCCGGTCTATCAATAGCTCACTTGACTTCCCGACCGAGGCGGAGGATAAGTCGGTCGTGGTAGCGATTGTCGGAACGGCTCGCGCGGACGCTCCTTTCCTCCGTCTCCGAGAAACGACGTAGAAGATCACCGATAGAAATTTTTCTCTCCGCAGAAGTCCGGAAGAAGAAGATATGGAATTTGGAGAAGAGGTTGTGTACAGGTAAGCCTTTTGTTTCGCATTCAAATGATCGGATTGAGCGGAAACCTGCAAGCCGGAAGTCGATCGAGAAACGGGCGCGTGCATTTTGTTGACGAAAGAACGAAACATCGTCGATGAGACAATTAATTCCGTAGTGAATAGACTAAAAGATAATAGACAATATAATGTAATACATTTAAACGACACGAATTTAAAAGAAATACTCAAAGTTAGTTTTCGATTTATTTAAAAATGTGCGTTGTTTAATTTTCAATGTATTATTTATACGTGAATAATGAATTGGTTACGGAAAAATTGAGAGTAATAAACTAAAAGTAAAGAAGATCTAGCAATCAATCTAAAACGGAAGAGAATAGTTTGACAATTGTTTTCGTTGATAATAAAAAGGTATTAGGTTACATCATTACATCATTATGATAACAATAGATATTTGTACTATGTACAGTACAGTACATCTAAATATTTATTTTCAACAAACTTATATTCTAATGTAATTCTTATGGTGGGTGATTAACTTTATTTGTCAAAACTGTCAATGTATATATTATGTTCTGATTAATAGTATTGTCCATATTTTTTCATAATTTCTTATCATTAACTTTCCTTTTTTGTACAGCGTATATTTCTATTTCAACATTTTATCAATTTAGAATAAATTAAATAGATATTGGAAAATTTTATAAACATAGAAATCGTGTAATAACGAACGAAAATTAACTAAATCCGTCGTAGTTAAGAGCGTATATTTATAATTGTATAGGATCTTATACAGAATATATTTCAATGTCAGCTTATCTGTGTTACTTCGGTATCATGCTTTTCTTATGTAAAAGCCAATAAGAATTTCGTAGTCTTGACGTAATTTATATATTTTTCCATCCTTTAACCAAGTGGGATAAGTCTTAGCTTTGGAATGGTTGAGTATACGAGCATTTTTAGTTTTAATGTAAATTCATAAAATTCTAAATTAAGAAAATTGATGACGTCGCTTTATTTTGAAAATACGGCTGAAATTATAGTAGTAATAAACATCTTGTTACTAATTGTACTGTACTTTTTTTTAATTAACTCTTTTTAATTAACTCTTTCCGCCCTGTGGGCACTAAGAGGGCCTCTTTTTGCAAGCCCATTAGGGGTTCGGTCATGCCCACAATGGGGCTGTCGGATGGTGAGGGATGGGGCCTGACATATCCAAACGGACCACTCCCCGAAAAATTCCTGGGGACTTTTCGACCCGTTCGAGATCCGAACCCGGGTCCCCCAGAGCGGTAGGCTGCCACCTTGACCGCTCGGCCATCCGACCGCAATTGTACTGTAGTGTACAATACAATACTGGCATAAAAAGTATCTAAAAATTGTATAGTTTTATTATACAACTACTCTATTTCTTTTATATAAAATAGTTTTGAAAAAATGACAAAAAAGAGAGAAAGAAACATTGAATAAGCTTATAAAATAGATTCGATAAATCTTAGAACTAACAAGTAAGATGAAATTATGGATGTTTTCTAATGGATATTTTGTTAAGAAAAACTTCCATTCTATATTTATTTTAGATATATTTTATATCTATAATAACTTAATAAATACAATTAATTATATACACCTCCCGCGTATTCTTATTTATCGATATTGTACAGGAGTACCTATTTCCTCGAGGCCCAGGACAATTTTCTCCTTTTGCTCCTCTGTTTGTCCTTGATTGATAGATATGCAGATTACTTTGGTTTAAGTAATAATTAACTTTCTAACTTATAAAATATTCTCTCTTTTAAAAGAGTATAGTTTAAATGTTATCGTTTATACTGTACGTGAAAGTAAATGAACCTTTAAATAACTGTGTGAAATAGTATAATATGTTTATATTTATCATCTTAACCTAAATATGTCCAATTAAAAGATTTTACGATAGGTTCATGCCATCGTAAAACTTTAATATATTAAAAAATGGAGAATATCGTATCGAATATCGTATGTCATCTTTTAAAGAGTTATTCCTCTACAACTAAAAATAAATCAACAGGTATTCGAGAGGTTATTTTATATTTCAACGCACAGTCAATCCAAATGCACAATAAGCATTGACTTATTATATGTATAATAGAACATAATCAAAAGTTTTAAAGAACAATGTAAAATTTTTTACAAATTAGCTGCATCATATTGAAAACTAACAATAGTTTTATTTGCAAATTTTTGAAATTTTAAGGAAATTTTTAACGAATGAATAATTCTAGATGCAAGCATTAATTCAAGTGTGTTCTTTTCTTTTTTGTAATTTGAAAGAGAATATAAGAACTCCTACAAACTTCATGCAGTGATAACAAAAGCATGAAGTTTGTAGGAGTTCTTATATTATCTTTCAAATTACAAAAAAGAAAAGAACACACTTGAATTAATGCTTGCATCTAGAATTATTCATTCATTTGTTAAAAATTTATATGTTTAGACAGTTTGGAAATATTGAAAGAAACTTTAGCTTTTTTAATTGCCATTACGGACAAATTGAAATATAAAATGGATTGAATTATTTTATATGTTAATACTTATTTCATTACAGTAAAGAAAGTATATTTTATCATATTTAAGACAAAACTAGAGGAATACATTTAATGATAATATAAATAGTAATCTTTTAATGTAAAGCTTAGCATGCCTTAAACTTTTGAAATAAACTGAGAAACGTTTTAATATTCATTTACTCAGAAATATCAATCGGAATTGATTGAATCATGATGAATAAGTTCATCATGAATTAACTCTTCAGTTGACTAATATTCACTTGTCCTTTTCACAAATGCATTATATTTATTATTCATTATTCATTTACACTTTTTTTTATTTGTTTACAAACTTCCTCTGTCTCCTTATCTGAATGGTCATTTGTTGGCATGTATATCTGGATTAAGAAAAGGCCCCTTGGTTTAGTATCTATTCTCAGTGACACAGTCCTATCAGATATTTGCCAATATCAGTCAACCATCTTCTTTTCCAGCATCACCGCAACTCCTCGTTGATGTTCCGTTCCTCTTGAGTACATGAATCTTATTTCTTAGTCAGTTGTAATATCCGTTTTTCCAGCCAATCTTGTTTCAGAGATCTCTAAGATTGAGATCTTCAGTCTTTTCATTTCATGCATTACATTTGCCATCTTTCCTATTTGATATAAAGATCTAACATTCCTGGTACCAATGTTAATGCATTTCTTAAGGTTTGCATAACTGTGTGGAATTTTTGTATCCACTCCAAGAGTTCCTAATGACTTTGATCGTAAAGTGTCATTTGAAGCATTTCTCGAGTTTAATCTGTGTACTTCCTGTAATTCCAGCACAAATCTGCTGCACCTCTTCCTGGTAGCCAACTACATAAAGGTGTGTAGTTCGTTACCAGTACTACCTATACATTCCTCTGCTAAACGGATTATTTCTGAATTTTTTGTTCATCAAATCTTGCGGAGATAGAGATACATGGTGCTTCCCCGTTGCCTTCCATGCTTCAGCTCTTGTATTTAATATATGAATAATTATTTTTTAATCAATTAGCTCAAACAAAACTTTAAAATATTCGATAAAAACAAAATTTAACATTATTTTTATATTTTTCACATTGGAAACATTTTGAAAATAATGTGAAAATATTATCAAGATTTTTTATGATTGTATTTACTAAAAATATTAAATAATATTAAAGTATTATACCGTATATGTATTTACTGTACAGTACAGTACAATACACTACAATACGTATTTAATTTGCTTATCGATCGCCTTTCAACCTTTCATTAACCTCTAAAAGGATTAGGATTTTATATCTATTACCTGTAATATCCTAGGATATTGAAATTACGAAAAGTAATTATATTAATTACTTCTCGTAATTTTCTTAATACAGTGAAATCTCCATTAACGGACACCCCGAATAGCGGACAAGCTTCTCGGTCCCGACAATGTCCTCTATTCAGAGATTATACTATATCTTTAATTCGTAGCAAATTATAGCTTTTTTAACACTAAATTAAATGTTTACGACTCGCGCTAATTCGAAATATGAATTTGACTTTGATCATTATCTTCTTAAGGAATAATTATCGCCTTTTCTCGATACAATGATAATAGTGAATTATTTAGTTGTTGTATCATCGATTTTAAATTCTAATTTTGTTATATTTCTTAATTATTTTAATTCGAATTTTGAGTTTATAATACAGTACATTGCTTCTATAAACTAAGGAAAATATATATAAATTTTGTTGAATTTTTCAAATATTCACAACAAAAAGAGACTATGTTGAATATGTATATTTAATAATTATATTACAAATTATATTTGTAAATTTCATTATAATATATACAAATTAATCAGATTATTTTATTCCTAATTTTGTAATCAAACTGTCTAGATACAGAATTTATAATGCATGCTGAAAATATCGTGTAACAGATATATTATGATAGCAACCCATTAGGAGCTTCGATTACTTGTGTTATTTATATGAGTTCTTCTAATCCTCTTACATAAACTTTACACTATATCGTCACGACCAGTTTAAATTTCCTGTTCAAAGCTATTCTGTGACAATTTATATGAAGGAATCACGTATAGTAAACACTAACTTCTAGAGACGACATTTGGAAAGACAATATTAAGTGATTGCACAAAGTGATCCAGACTTTTACGTAACCTATTGATTCATAAATCTTTAAGAGAAGAGATTCCGGATTAATGTCTCATACGTTAATTGAATTTTTAAAAAAATAATATTATCTTAGAGTGATAATGCCCTATGCAATGAAGTAACAAGACCTTAATTAATTGAATAAGATCTGGAAGCAAATAGCAACAGTTAGATAGAATAACTATATCATTCACAATGACATCAAGCAAAATACTTTTAGGCTAAAGGTATTTTGGCGAACATTATTGCAAAGTAAGCATTTGAATGGTCTCTTAAATGACATGTACTGTACAGTACATTGCTACAAAGCTCTTATTCCTTACAA